TATCTATTGTTCTAATATAATTTTCTTTTTCTTCTTCTCCTCCTCCCTCAACTCCACCCCTGCCCCCCACCCCGCTTTTTTTTTTTTTTTTTTTTGCATTACTGGGGATTGACCAAGGCATGCTTTACACACCCAGTGATTTTTAATTTAATTTAATTTATTTTATTTTTTAAACCAGCTTGTGTCTTGGATTTTCATCTTCTTTTTCCCCATGTATAACTCTTCTAAAAATATTTTATTTGTTTATTTTTTTTAATGTGATGCTAAGAAATGAACCTAGTGCCCCACACATGTTAGGCAAGTGCTCTACCACTGAGCCACAACCCCAGCCCCCTTTTTTTTTACTTGCAGACAGAGACTTATTAAATTACCAAGGATGACCCTAAACTTGTGATCCTTCTGCCTCAGTTTCTGGAGTAGCTGGGATTACAGGCAGGTGTTGTCATACTGGTAGCCTCCAGTATAGTTTTCAATAGCACTCTCTTCCATTCTCTGAAGGGTCCCAGTTTGGAGAATAAATTACATGATTACCCTATTCAAAAGAACCAACTGTTGTTCAGTTTCTGGATTTATTTGTGAATCCTGTAGCTCTATTCCCAAACCCTATTCCAGAATGCCCACTGTGACCTCTAACTCTCCTCGTCCTCAGGGTCTGTCCAGACTTTGATCTGCCTGATCACGAGCCACTGCTGAGACTCTGACACCTCCAGTCGTATACAACTCAGCTTCTCCATAGAATCTTCGTCATAAAATACCCTCTGGTCCAAATTTCCTCGTACCAGTGGCCCTAGCAGGAAATAGCGAACACAGCGTTTGGAATGCTCCATGAGGTCATAGCCCAGTAGTACTCTGCCCTTTTGCAGTTGATACATCCCGTTTTCCTCAAAGCCTGTCAGCACCACTATTCGGATGATTTTTTGTGGTTTGTCCAGAATCACTGTGAGGTGGTTGCCTTTTTCAGGATCCAAGGTAGTGTAGGGCTCCTCGTTCAGAATATAAGCGTATAGTGGAACAATGTTCAGTATGGACATCATGTCCGTGGCTACAATAGCCGTGGGATTGTCTGGCTCCCCAAAGACCTTGTCCTTCTCCACAGGAAAGCATGTGTCCTCCAGTTCAGAATAATTGCCCATTTGGTGGAACATGGAGGGACTGAGATGAATTGGAACATTTTGTGCCAAGAGAAGATGAAATCTAGAGAGAAGCATGGGAGCAGAAGTGTTCTTGGGGAAGAGGAGGAAGAAAGAGGCCAGGTGGGAGAGGTCCCTGGAGTGGAACACTTTCCCAGAGAATCTCAGGCTGGATAATTCCAGGATCACCCAGGGGAATTCTTTCCAGGCTGATAATGCCCAGTAGATGGCAGAGACAAAATAGAAAGTGTACTGAACATGATCATCCATCAACAGGAAGTAATCAGAGAGGTTGCTTGCAAAGTTCATGAGGAGGGCATAATCCACTTTCTGCCTGAAATAAAGTTCTTCACAGGAGGAGTATTGGTTTATGTTCCTCATTGGGGAGTTATCCAGAAGCCCGTGGACCACAAGCAGCTTCCTGGCTTCAATGTGTAGGTCGAAGAGGTCTGAAATATTGGCCACTGTTTGGCTGAKCCACTCAGGGTCAGGGTCTGAYAGGTGCACCAGCACCACTATAGACTTCAGCTCAGCTTCTGAGGAAACTTGGAACAGGGACTGCAGGGTGTCCAGGAGGTAGCTCCYTTGGGGGCGTTGCAYTGAGGAAATGCCYACTGTCAGCAGCTCTGGGAGAGACAGGGAGACCTTTRGCACYTCAGGAWGGTGGAGGGTTCCCAGGACTCTCCTAAGACTCTCCCCTTCATGCCAAACACTTTTCTTTCTTTTTTGTTGTTATTGTACTGGGGATTAACCCAGGGGTGCTCTACTACTGAGCTACATCCCCAGAACTTTTTAGTTTTTTTTTGAGACATGATCTTGCTAAGCCACTGAGGCTGCTCTGAAACTTGTGATCCACTTTCCCAAGTCACCGGGATTACAGGCATGTGCCACCATGCCTGGCACAAATTCACTTTTCTTTTCCCTGGGAGTGTATGGTCCAGGTGAGAGGTTACTAAGGGATCAGAAGTTATGAAGTGTTTTCTTTTGTCCGGTACTTTGAAAGGATGTGGGGGAAACTCATGAAAGACACTGCTATCTATGATGCAGGAGGTCACCATGTAGCAAAGACAAATATGCTTAGCAAGACCTTGACCTTCAGAATGATCTCAGTCATCATGGGTCACTCAGACCTAGATTAGAGAACCTCCATGGACCCCTGCAAGCCCCAGGGTCTGGCAGGCAATGTATTGGGACACAGAGCCCACACGCCCCTTTTCCCTCTACCTGGATCTCTCTCCCAGGGCTCCCCTGGGCTCCTCTCTCATCCTGGCTTTCCTCCCTGGGGGCCTGCCATGACTGAGCTTCACATGGGGTGGCTCCATCACAGGGTCACTAWGGTCTTCTCATCCTRTGGGGCATTCAAGAGGTAAACAGGAGAGAGAAAAATGCACCCAGGATTGYGACCTGCTTGGAATTCCCTAGCCTGGCCCTGGCTCACAGGGCCCTCCTGTGCTTGCCAGCCACCAGCTCACTCCGCTTTGCCCTCCTCCCCTTTTCTAGTTAAAATACCTTGTCTGACCTTCGCCCAGTCTGCCTGCTCCCTGCTCCCCCCATACTCACTCTTTTCCTGGGGAAGGGCTCCAGCCAGGAGTGTGTAGTTGGCATGCTGGAGTAGAGGGGAGTTTTTCTGCATCTCCCTGAAGACCTCCAGATGGTTACTGATTTCAGAGTTGATTTGTTCCTGAACTGTCTGCTGAAGGATTTCTKTCTTYTCCWTCTGAGGACAAGATAGATATGTATCAGCCATGAGGTTTATCCCCAGACCCTCTGGAGTCAACTGAGGGGCACATCTCCCCTGAGGGCAGGCTGAATGAGCCCCAGGACCCAGTCACCAGAGAGAATGAATGTCAGGGCTCARCTACCCTCTCTCTCCACCTGGTCACACCTCAAGGTGCTTCCCAGCAGAAGCCATGGCCCTGAGTGGGGCATGTGTGGCCAGGTTTGTGTGGAATGTGTCTGGGAAGTTCCTAGGCCCATGCAGAGTAGACTTGCTCTGGCCACACCCTTTCTTTACCTTCAGCAGGCTGGTCAGTGYCATCTGCCTCTCCTGAGGCCTGGGCTGGGTTCTGAGGGAGACGCTGAAGACAAGGCCTGGTCCTGTACTCAGGGGACTCACAGCCACAGGTCAGTCTGAAGTTTGTTCTCTCGCTCAGCCTAACCACACCCAGTTCTGCACCCCTTCCCCAGGCCACCCTGTGCTTCTGTCTGGCTGGTCTGAGGCAGTCAAGAAAAAATGTGGATTCCAAAGCCTCAGTGCGCCCCATGTGTGATTTGGTCTTCTCACTCGCAGGTGTTCACAGTGGAGAAGTTACTTCAAGTCCCTTCATGTGAGAAATGGGATGAATTACATGTYCCCTGTCAGGTCCTGGTGAGAATGGTGGCAGCAGCCCTGTGGTCCTGGTGGCCTGCGGTTCTGGCAATCAGTGTGGTCTTGTCAATCAGCATAGTCCTCCAGAGGTGGCTGTGTACCACCCTTTCCACACCTCCAGTGCCCCCTCCTCGTCCCTGTCCCTCCTCACATCCCAACCATATCTCCAGGCTGGTTCAAAGCATATCTCTGCTGTGACATGCTCTGAATTTTTCAAGTGCTCTCAGAATGCCTGTGATGAGTCTAGAGTGTTTTACATAATTGTGAACATTTCCTACTGATGGGTTGGCAAGTGGTCCAGCCTCCATCTCTGGTACTCACCAATATTGTGTTATAATCAACTTGTTGTTCTTTATTCTCTTGAAGGAAGAATCTCAGGAGGAATAAGGACACAGCAAATATGAGACATATCCATAGGCAAGAATACATGGTGCTGGACCTGGAGCCGCTACACACACACACACAAAAAAAATATGAGCAGCAATGAATTTTTTTTGTTGTTGTTGCAGTGCTAGGAATTGAACCCAAGAGCACTTTTCCACTGAGCCCTATCCCCAGTCCTTTTAATTTTATTTTGAGACAGAATCTCCCTAAATTGTTCAGGCTGGCCCTCAACTTGCAATCCTTCTGCCTCAGCCTCCAGAATTGTTGGGACTATAGGCATGCTCCATTGTGACTGGCTTGTATCACCTTTGGATCTTGAGAGCCTCCTGCTCAGAAAACATGGGGGGAGCCAGGCTTAGTGGTACATGCTCACAATCCCAGTTACTTGAGAGGCTAAGGCAGGGGGATTGCAAGTTGGGGACCAGCCTGGATAACTTAGGGAGACCCTGTCTCAAAATATATAAAAAATGTTGGGGATACAGCTCTCTGGTAGAGTGCCCCTAGGTTCAATCCCCAATACTGATAAAGATGATGGTGATAATGATGATGATCATAAAAAGAGAGCTTGGAGTGTCTTCTTCCTGTCTGGAAGTCTTCCACTTCCTGTTTCCAATTCTTCCTCCTGGATACCATGATCTGTTTATTATTGCCTTAATCTTTCCCCTTCAAATTCTTCTTTTTCCCCATATGTGTACCCATTTCAAGAAAGGCAAAGATCAAAGTGTTTGATTCAATTTAGTTTCTACGTCCATCACCTCCTCCCTGGGTTAACTGGAGGAGCTTCCCTGGCTCAAGTGCTCTTGAAGACCCAACCAGAAACACTGTGTTGCCAAGAAAAGGAAACTGGGGGTTCAGTGTTAATTACATTTTTCCCCAAACTTCAAATTCACACCAAATCTCCTCACGGGTTTTATGGATCAATAAATAGAACCTTGTCTTTCAGCTCCACACTTACTTTTGTGTCTGATCCTTTACAGGATTACTGTAGGCAGTTTTTTGAATCAGGTCAGAAGCACCAAAGGAAAGCTTGTTGCTGTATCTCCCCAATACTAGGCTGGTAAGATGGATGGAAACCTGAAAGTGACCCAAAGTTTCTATTCATGTACATATCTTCAAAGCATTTGGAGTGCTATATCCATTGAAGTCTTTCTGCCTAACAGAAAAAAAAAAAATGGCTTGAGGGTTTATCAAAGGGCAAGAATTTCACTTTGGATGAGTTCCCAAAGTGACTTCTATGAGGTAGCTGAAACTAGTTATCTACCCAGGAGACTGCCCCTGACAACCATTGTTCACCCTGACTGGGAGCTGAGCACCTGTCTGATCTCACATTAAGCATGTTTCTGGGTGAGATAGAGGCTCTTATAATTTAATTATGGGTGTCCCCCCAAAAATCTCAAATGTGAAACAATGCAAGAATTTTCAGAGGTGAAATGAACAGGTTAGGAGGGCCTTAACCCAATCAATGGATTAATCCACCAATATGGATTAACTGGTTGGTAACCACTAGGCAGGTAGAGTGTGACTGGAAGAAGTGGGGTTGTGCCTTTGGGATTTATATTTTGTCCTGGTAACCAGACCTCTCCTTGCTTCTTGATTGCCAAGTCCTGAATTGCTCTCTTCTGCCACATCCTTCCATGATGTTTGACTTCATATTGAGTCCGGATCCCTGGAGTCGGCCAGCCATGGACTGAGCCTTTGAAATTGAAAGCCAAAATAAACTTTTATTCCACTGTGTTGTTCTTGTCAGGTCTTTTGTTTACAGTGATGTTAAATTGATTGAAACAGAGGTGTAGTTTCAAAACCAGTTTTTCAGTCTTGTGACTTGAAATTTGGAAATTACCTGTCAGTTTGAATCAAATCAGCAAGGGTGGATTCTGAGTTATCCCTTCTTCTATAGGAGAGTGCCCCTACATAAATCAGGGCTGCCTCCCTCAGCAGATTGGCATCATGCTGTGCTGTCTAGTGAGTCTCCTATTAGTCACTGCATTTTTTTTTTTTTTTTGTACTGGGGATAGAACTCAGGGGCACTCGACCACTGAGCCACATCCCAGCATATTTTGTATTTTATTAGAGAGAGAGTCTCACTGAGTTGCTTAGCGCTTTAGTAAGTTGCTGTGGCGGGCTTTGAACTCGAGATCCTCCTGTCTCAGCCTCCCAAGCCACTGGGATTACAGCCGTGAGCCACCACACCTGGCTTAGTCACTGTAAATTGGTCCACAAACCACTAATTCTCTTGGACCTAACACTGACTAGTAAAACTCTGAAGTTTCATTCCTGGAAACTATAGTTCTAGTTCTTTCTTCCTACACTTAAAATTTCACTTATGATAGTGTTGTTGACAGGACAAGCATCTTAAAACCATAGACTTCTATTGCATAACTTCTTTGAACTAAAAACTCTTTACCTTCTCTCTCCCCCTTTTTAAAGTCTCTTCTTTTAATTCTTTCTCTGTCTTTCCATTCACCCTGCTTCTAGGAATCAACCAACCAACCAACCAACCTTTAATAATATTGATATTAAAGTTAAAATGGAGAAGATCAAGAAGGCAATTTAGTTTTCATTAGAGTTACATGTAATTTTGACGAAGTTTAATTTTTTATTATTTTTTTGTGAGCAGTGATTTTTCATCCTATTTAAAAATATAATTACAGGGTTGTTAAAGAGATTTTTCCCTCCCACATTTTTTTTTTGTTGTTGTTGTTGTTAATGCTGGGGATTGAGCCCAAGGCCTCTATCACTGAGCTACATGCCCAAATCCCAAGATATTCTCTTATGTTCCCTTTTGGAAGCTTTCTATTTTTTAACTTTTCGGTCTAGGTGTAGGTCTTTTTACCTTTAGGTTACTTTTACCTTTAGGTCAAATTAATACTTGTTAATGGAATGAGGAGTATTTTTGGTTTCAACATCCAGTTATTTTAGCAACATTTATGGAAAAGACTTTCTCKGACCCTTAGAATTATCTTGGCATTTTGTCACTATGAACTGTGAATGTTTATGGTTATTTTTACTATTTTTTCTTTCACCAACCTATTTAACTATCCTTATCACTACACGTAACATTTCTCTCCTCCCCTGCTTCTGAGTGTGTAATGATGGTTTTTGTGTATTTTTCTTATAATTATGTAGGATAAATTTTTGTGTAGAAGGTGTTTCAATCCTATTATTTTCCCCATGGGGATGACCATGCCTTCTTGTGATGTTTATTAAAAATGAACATTTTTTCCTCACTCATCTGCCACATCATCTCTTTGATAAATCCAGTTTCTATACATCCCTATTTCTTGGGGATTATTTTCTACCAATGCACTTAAATGATGTCAGTATGATTTGAATAATTAATTGTCAGTTTTTAAAATTTTAATTCCACTTTACTGAAATATAATTTATAAACCATTGTAAGTATACAGTTCATTGAATTTTGACAAATGTAGATAGTTATGTTACCATCGTAGTCCAGATATAGAATGGTTCTTTTTTCTTTTTAAGTACTGAGGATTGACCCAGGGCACTTAACCACTGAGCTACATCTTCAGTCCCTTTTATTTTTTTAATTGGAAACTGGGTCTTGCTAAGATGCTGAGGCTGGCCTCAAATTTGAGATCCTTCTGCCTCAGCTTCCTGAGTCATTGGGATTATGGGCATGTGCCACCATGGCAATACAAAACAGTTTTATCATCCTAAAAACTTCCTTTGTGGTTCTTTAGAGTGAATCTCCTCTCTTTCCAGGAAACTGCTGTTATGCTTTCTATCACTATAGTTTACCCTTTCTAGAATTTAATATAAATATAATCATACAATAAATAGTCTTTCATATCTAACCCTTAGCAAAATGCTTTCAAGATTCATCCATGTCATTGCTTGGATCAGTCGTTTGTTTCACTTTTATTACAGAGTAGTATTCCATTGTGTGGATATATCACACTTTGTTTATTCAAGGCTTTTTTTAATATTTATTTTTTAGTTGGGGCACAATACCTTTATTTTATTTATTTATTTTTATGTGGTGCTGAGGATCGAACCCAGGGCCTTGCATGTGCTAGCTAGCGCTCTACCACTGAGCCACATCCCCAGCCCTATTCAAGGCTTTGGATGAACATTTGGGTTGTTTCAGTTTTGTCTACAATTAATAAACTACTATGCAAATTTATATGCAAATCTTTGGACATATGCTTTCTTTTTAAAAATTTTTTATTTGTTCTTCTTATATATACTTGACAATGGAATGTATTTTGATATGTTATATATACATGGAACATAACTTATTCTAATTAGGATCCCATTCTTATGGTTGTATATGGTGTGGAATTACACTGGTCATGTATTCATATATGAACATAGGAAAATTATGTCTGCATTCTACTATCTTTCCTATTCCTATCCCCCCTCTCTTCCCTTTATTCCCCTTTGTCTAATCCAATGAACTTCTTCTGTTCTTCCCTTCTCCCTTGAAATATGCTTTCMTTTCTCTTGGAGAAACATCCAAGAGTAGAATGGCCGACTTGAATGGTAGATATAGATTTAACTCTATAAGAAATTGCCAAGGGGCTCAAGTGGTAGTGCGCTTGCCCAGCTTGCATGAGGCACTGGGTTCGATTCTAGGCACCATGTAAAAATAAAATAAAGATATTGTGTCTACCTAAAACTGAAAAACAAGTATTTAAAAAAAAAAGAAATTACCAAACCATTTATCAGAGTTGGTATGCCATTTTGTATTCCCACTAGCAACATATGAGAATTCAGTTCATTCAGTTCTTTGGCAACACTTGGTATTTTCAATCCTTCTAGTTTTAAGCATTCTAATGGGCATGTACTAATATCTTATTTTTTTCTTTTATAAATTAAAATATAGATTTTTATAGTAAAGTCACGTTTTAATCTGTGGTTTTGACAAACACATATAATCATGTAATCACCACCAAAATCAAGGTCATCACGTCTCCAAATCTCCCATGTCTTGTTGTCAGCCCGCGCATGCCAGATGAGTGCGCTACCACTTGAGCCACATCCGCAGCCTGTTCAATTCTTATTAAATGGAAGGAACTTAA